GATTTTAAAAAGATTAGCTAAGTTCAGAAAATAAATGTTCAAGTTTGCATGCTTTTTTGTCAAGGACCACATCTGGCTAAAAATGCTTCGAAAGGGAAATCATAAAATCAGGAAAATGGTAGCATTTCTATTTTGCCTTTCATTTGGCCACTGTGATCATTTTTTGCCATACAGTTGCATGTAATTTTTTACCCCTTTAAACATCAACCTGCCACATAATTGAACAACTGAACGACAAGTTAGTTTGTGTCTGTATAAAAATGTAGTTAATGAAATCAAACCCTGTAAAATTAAGATTGCCTTGTAGTAGTGGATATGAAAAACACCACAGGATGCCCAGGAAAATAAAAATGTAAAATGATATATAAGATACAGTGAAACCCCGCCTTACGGCCACCTCGGTAATAGGGTCGCTTCTTTATTAGAGGGTCTGGATGGGGTTAACTGACAAATGGCCAGAATTTTAACTGACAATTGACAAATCGCCTAAAATTTAACTGAGAACTGACATTTGCCTTGGAGTTAACTGAAAACTGACGAAGGACCTGATTGTCCCTTATTTTCTACAAAACCCTTTTTAAGGCCCGAAATAGAATTGTTCCACTCTTTTCGTCAGACAATGTGAATCAAATTCGCGTTTTATGGGTAATCTTAGCAGCAAGACGCTTAAGTGTCATATTTCAGTAATCATTTACTGTAAAACCCATGTGTGTCATGTACCATCTGTTGTAAATGACTTACGGCCTATGGCTTCAAATTTACGCTCCTCCGAGAACTCACCGGCATACGAAGGCTGCTAATGAGGGCGTTACAAAAGCAATTGCAAGTTTTTGCCGAGATGATTCAGACACAGTCTATCTTGGTCTTTCTTACGATCTAGTAGTCGTCCCAATATTATACCTGCCAACTTTGAGTCAAATGAGTTAAAGTTTTTCACCTTGCCATGATCATGACTGAGACTGATTCCAGAAACGTCCCGGCGACTTCCAAAGATTTCCGACGAATCTCCGAATACTTCAAAACCTTGCCGAAAATTAAATGTCCGCAGATGTTCCGAAAACGTTTGAGCACTTCCGAAGCTACTTAAAAGATGACAATTTTAAGGTGCTTTGATTTAGTTATAGACCGCAAAACAGTCCGTACTTTTCCGTATTCAAGTAAACGCGAACAGTCATGGGAGACCCTTACGCTACGCTAAACCGATTTTGAGAAAAAAGAAACAACAACAACAACAACTTTTTTGCAATCGAGTTGGAACACAAAAAAGGAAGAAAAGTTATCACGTGTTAAAGAACAATTTGTCCGGATTTGTGAGTCAGGCGTGAAAACTTGTCCTTGATGCGTGAGATCGATGTCTTTAGTCCACAGGCAAGAGACTCAAGCATAATGCTTGAGATGGCAAGTATACTAATAAAATATTCTGAAGGTATAAATTTTGATTGGCTTAATGGTTGGAAATGTTGGACTCTGGCGAGTAAAAACGTTCAAGTGTAGGAGAGTAACAGAAGACAGGAAGATTGAGAAATGGAAGGCCATTTGAGGCTATTGGAGAAACGGAAGGCCACTTGAAATGCTACAATAGCAAAACTGATCAAAATTAAGGTACTATTGCATCAGTTTTCGAATTTAATTTTAATTTTACATTTTATGTGCCAATTAAGCTAAATTTCGCATATGCATCAGAAATACACCAGTATGTTTCATATTTAATCATTAATTATCATTTAACTGACAACTGACAAATGGCCAAAATTTTAACTGACAACTGACATTTGTAACCTTCCATCCAGACTCTGTTATTACGGCCTTTTTTTTGGCGGCCTGTCAAAAACCGCCATACATTTTTCTAAAAAAAACCCTCGTTAATACGGCCATTTTTTTGGCCTATTGGTGACCGTATTAACGGGGTCGCACTGTAATATTATTTGTAGTCAACAATAACAGTTAGAAACTAAGTTGAGGCAGGCAAAAACATTTTTCAGAGACCATGAACCTTCACTGACTTTACTGTTACAACAAGTGGTGAAAGGGTCTTAAAATTAAGATTAGCGCTGATCGTATGGCCCCCAAAATATAGCAACAGGCAATAACATAATAATGTATTAAGGCGTTTCTTATAACGTTCGTTTACAGCATAGTTAAGTTATTATTCACTTCTATCGGAAGTTTTACTTACCGAGAAAACGTGTTATATATATATGCTGTTCTTTGTGAGTTTGACTAATAGTCGCGGGTCGCGGTTCGCGGGTCCAAAGTCGCGGTGTCGGGTCCAAAGTCGCGGTCGCGGGTCCAATGTCGCGGCAGGGGAAAATGATTTGGGGTTTCAGGGAAACAGCTGAGTGAAAACGCCTGATATGAACACAATATAAAGGGAAAAACTCTTTTTTTATGCAAGATACTCCACGGTAGCCAATTTACAGGTTACGGATGTTAGAGTCAACAAAATAATGTCTCAAGAAAAGACCTAAAGGAAAAAGCTGGCCGACTTCTGTGTTCACCGCAAGTTTATTTAGTTTTCTTTCTATCGGGCCCAGTTATACTTATGCATAACAGTATCTCATAAAAAAGTTACCATAAGTTACCATTGCTTTTTTCTTGTCGATGAATTGCTCGCAAATGCTTAGGGGTTCATTTACTGAAAAATATGCGATACCCTTGGACCCGCGCCCCGCGACCCGCGACTATTAGTCAAACTCGTTCTTTGTTAGTTGTATTCATTTCCTGAAAAAGTCTCAATAGGAGACGAAACACGTCGGAAATAAACGAAAAAACTTACAACTACAAGAAGTCTTCTTTTGTTCTGCTGACTAGTCTTCGTTAAAAAATTTAAAAAAAGAAAGTTCTGTTTTGTTGTTTATCTTATCTTTTTGTTAAATTTGGTGATTTTTGTTATCCTCGACACTTCCCGCACCCGCAACCTTTACCTGCACCCGCACCCGCACCCGTGACCTCTACTCGCGAGTCGCGACCCGCGACATTTAGACATACTCCCCGAAAATTTCTAAATACCGCAAACTGCTTGGTTTTGTAAAAACCGCAAAACCGCAACTTAAATAAAAATTTGCCTACTGCCAGTTGAAAAATTACTTTGTCATCTTTGAACTTCATTTTATTCTATAAGTCACGAAAGCAGAAAATGGCTGCGGTCACATCTGGGCTACTATCGTTAAGACGGGGATAACTATAGTTAGCTATTTCGGTAATGTGACCGCTATTCTGTTCGCTCTAACTATAGTTAGAAAATTTACGCCTCGGTGATCCAAAACAATACAGACTAACTATAGTTATACCCAAGCAGGGTTCGTTGGTTAGTCTTAAGTTTACAAACAAACAACCAATCAGAATGTGACACTTCTTTTCGTACGTGCGAGATGAGCATATATAAATACGCAAAATAAAAACCAAGCGTAAAGCGAGGGGGAAACCAAAAACAACAAACAAAAAATTTACATAGTGCTAATTACTAACTGTTGTTAACTACGTGGTGTGACCGCAATGTCGACCGAAGGCACTAACTACAGTTAGGTATGACGTCACCTAACTTGACACTAACTTAAGTTAAACTTTAGTACGTTGTAGATGTGACCGCAGCCATTGTTACAGTACAAAACCAGATGTTCTTCTTTTTTTTAATAGTACATTAAAGGGTGTTGTTCTTGGTTGAAACTAAACTATATAGAGACTGGACTGGTGTGCGATAATACAAAGGCCCAGTGGTAAACGCTTAAGAATTTATCTCTTTATGATAATAATTAAATAAATTATTTATACAGGGTAACCACTCCAGTTAAATACATGTAACTGCTATCAATGTGGGCCCTGTGAAATAATTAATTAATATTACAAACATAATGAAGCTAAAAAATAAAGATATTCAAAAATAAGAAGAAGAAAGAAAAACTTATATGGATGGTAGGTTCTAAAAACAGCACATTGTTAAAAAATGCTAGAAACTATGAGTTAAAAGTAATTGCCCCTTTATAACACAAAAAGATTCTGGCCAAACCTAGTGTTATGTGTATGAATGAATGCCATAGCCTGATAGCGTCTGATGTTAAAATACCCCTTGAACAAATCGGGAACAGTCCCCTTAAGACAGTTATTATCTAATTCTTCAATATGTTCATCTCGTCTATCGAATAGCGGCATCCGAGTCGTTCGATGATGGCTTCGCTTGTCAGTTCCCGAGAGTTCTTGAGAACAATGCGGCTAGCTCTTCTTTGCAAACGTTCGATCTTTTGCTTGTTCTCAAGACCACAGCTTTTACCACCGCTGCGCACATATTCCGTAGTTACCATGAAACCACGTTAGTGTTTTGAAATCTAATACTTTGTGAGTTTTGTCATTCTGGAAGCCTTTTGCTTATGGAACTCAAAACAGTAGGTAAGTTTTCCCCTTGTATTTTGGACGTTAACTTCGAACTTTTAAACGCTGAATTCATAGTGGATTTATGTTTTGGTTTTAGAAAACCTAACTCGTGCGTAGGATTTACGGGATTGGATTTGAATTTGTTTGGAACTACTCTGACTTCATTGTAAATTGGATTTGACACAGCGGTTAAGGTTGTTGATTTATTTGGATCTAGATCTACTCGAAACATAGAATCCTTTATGGAAAAAAGATAAGATTTACGTACGGAGTTCGAGTGTTCCACTTATTTTCGTAACAACAGCCATGCCAGGCGACGTCACAGTACTCCAGAAGCGGTAACACCATGGATTTATACGAACGATTAGTAGATTCAGTTGTTAATAGACGTCTCACTATTGAGAGAATTACCAGTTTCTGGGATACCTTGGATGCTGCGTAATTTGAGTTAGAGGCTGCTAGTACATTTACTGTTTTTAATCATGTTTTATCCTTAGTAGCAGTTCTTAAAATTAAAGTTCCAGACCCCTAAAAAACGTCCCTGAATCAACCAATCAACAAATGATGAGTAAACCATGTGAAAGACACTTATTCTGCTCCTGCGAACATCGCTTGTTTGACTACGTCTAATTCTATATTGTGTTACATTTAATACCAGAGTTCTTAGCAAACTGTTCAACAATCTTCATATTGCTCCATTCCAACTTACGTCCTTCTTTTACCTCAACACCAACTTGGTTATAATGACGCTCTAGAATTCGCAAACAGGTTAAGTTATTGTTGCCGGTATTACATGGGCTTTTATTAGGATCGGTAATAAACTGAAGATCGTAGTTGAAAAGAGGCAAATTATCCTTGAACGCAGCGGTATGATTGGTGCATATATGTACCTTATTCCCCGCTGCTCGGTGTGACAAGCAATAACTGACAAGAATCTTTGACCATAACCACGTCGTTCCCTTTGTTTTGTAAGTATGAAAGGCTGTTTGAGGTTCCGACAGTATCGGTTTTGTATGTTCAGGTCCAATAGCATGGCCTTTTGGAAACTTTTTATTATATTTTGTTAGGTTACTGGTGATCTCAAAACTCCAGTCGTAGCGATCTTTTTCAAAATACCAAGCATAACTGAGTACAATGTTTACAGGAGACACCTCCAGCCACTGTGCTTTACCCCTCGTTTCGTAGAACTTGGGAAAGACCTCTTCAAGATCAGTGGAGTTGAATCTCTTCAGTATGTATTCTCTGCAGCGCGTAAAGGTATCCCGGTAAATGTATACCGGGAAATAAATCATAAAATCAGCAACGAAGGGCAATCCTAGAGCAATTTCATTTGTTATTATCCAGTGCTTAACCCAAAACCTGCCGTACGTGTTATCTGAGGCCATAGCCCGTAACTTCGTGCCGGCAAAAACTGTAGAATTGGTTACTGGGGTGAGAAAGGCAGTGTCAGTGTCCATCCAAGCAATTATGGAATCGTTTGTATACTGATCAATGAAGAAACTGCTCCAAAGTTGCCTAATGTAACCCTCGCGATGAACTTTACCTGTCAATGTGCTATTGTTTTTGGGAGGAGCCTCAAAGGCTATTGCTATCTTGTAATCAGGAAAGTAACGTTTGTTTTCACGCCTGACTTTTGCGGCAAATTTGTGATCCTCTTTTCCTTCTTCATCAAGGACTATAGCTATCTTTCCAAATGAAGGAGGCCAATAAAGAACCAAAGTCCTGAACAAATGACAGTAATAACGAAACCTGTGATCTGGTTTACTGCCAGACATTCTTACAAATAGCGTTATTGAGGTTTCCGTAAACGGTGGTCCACTGGTGTTTTGGCTGCTGTTAATTTTACAGTTTTTGTCGAGCAGGGGTCGGGAAGTAATATCTATCCGAGCCACGTGTGCTAAATACACGGAGAGGAAGATGAAAGTTAAAATGCAGCAGAAGAGTAAAACCTTTTCAAGTGTAGATAGCTTTAACCAACTCATGTTTTACAAGAAGAAAACAGCCTCCTTCGATTTATGGACCTTCACTGTGGAATAGAGCAAACAAGATCCATTAAATTTGAGGCAACTTGGACTAATCAGGTTAAAGCGCATATTTTACCGCATTTAGACTATCCACACAAACAAATTGGAATTAACTAGCAAATTCCTTGTTTTTGTTTGCCTGACTTTTGTTATTTGTTATTTGAATGACTAATGACAAAGTCAGACAAACATTGCAAATTAGTCACTCTGACGTCATTTGTACGCTGTGCTATTCCCATGCCCAATGGTCAAAGCAACCTTAATTGAATTAGGTATATACCGTGTGGCACGAAATTTTTTGCGGGTTCTAATTTTTGCGATTTTTCCAGCGATCCGCAAAAGTAAGTTCCCCCAATTAAAAACTACCGCAAACCCTGATTTTTCTCGCAAAAATTTACTCCAGAGTAAATTTCTCTAACTTTGATTCGCTACACAAAAATAAAGTACTACGAAATCGTGTTCAATCACAACTTATCTCTTTCATTCAGAAACAAAACGGTATACAACGAAATAATGGTAATATGTATTTCTATTGCACGTACTCAATAAAAACGAAAATATTATCAATGCTGGGTACTGCGTACTTTGAAAATTCTAAAAATCGCAAACATTAATTCTCAGCAAGAAAACCAATCTGTCCTAATCGGAAAATTAGTTCCCGCGAAACACAAAAAAAAAATCGCCAATCCGCAAAAAAAAAAACTCCCGCAAAAATTTCTTGCGACACGGTATTTGATTTATTGTATAAATTTAATCTTGGGGTCAATTTAATAAAACTTCTAAAAGTGAATTTAACAGTGTAGCTGTTGTTTTCTGACGCTAAAACAATGGCTACACTTTTAAATTACACTTGCAAAAGTTTTATTAAATTGAACCCTGGGAATATACTACACTTGTCGTGACTAAAGGCTTGGTTACCAATCGTGGCTTCCACAGTTTACGAAAGGGATCGAAAATAGGTATCGGCGCTATTCCGCATTGTGCCCTCGTCGCCTGCTCAGCCGCTTTTTAAACTTGCACAGTTTCCAGTGAAAGCAAGCTGAATCACTTAATTTATAAGCGGTTAAGTTTACTAGTTTATAACTCTTTATTTGCCTGTCGATTTGAAATGTTTCTTCGGAATTCTGAGGGTAGTTTTTAAAACAATATCGCTTCAAATTTATCCGTCTAAAGCCACAAATATAATTATCGTACTTATGTTTCGGAAACGTTAAGCTGTTCGTTGCAAATTTTAAAACCTGAAGCAAATCAAAAATTCTAGTACCGATATAACTGATAACTCCGATAAAATTAAAATTAGGTCTTATTTAGGTCTTATATTTGATGACCAATCATTTTGAAAATATTGCTTGTCGTTTCCTTGCTGTAAACGATCACCGAATACTGCCATCTTTACTATGTTCTTTTCTACTCCTGTTGCAGTGAAAGCAGCTTTTCTACAACCTCATATATCCGTAAATACCATATGCCCTAGTTACTTGGGGAAGAACATTTAAATCTAACCGTAACCTGAGTCAGTTCCAGCGAAAAAGGACATTCGCTACACCATCTTTTGATTCCTCCCAGCTGCCTCGTTATAAGTCATCTTCTACTCAGAAAAATGCAGATTTACTCCCTTAATCATATATTCTTGGCAACACTGCTGATTTCTATTTATGTATTTCAGTTCATATTTTTTGGTTTCTCTAGGCTCCGCTGCGCTCTAACATTTTTGGGCTTTTTTCGTGCTTTATGTTAGCTTATAACTACTATGTATCTTAAGCTTTTCTCACGTTTTCTTTGTCCTGGGCGCTACAAAAAAATAAATACATACGTTGTCTACAGTCTGACCCGAAATTTAGATCCTAGTCCTTTCTAGTCTTTTTCGTTACTTGTAAAAAAATTAAGCCTTGGTATTTAATGTTACGATTACCTTTATCCAAAGATACTTTGCAATGAAACTGTAAAAATAAATAAATATAGCAATGTAGTAATTAAATTGCATTGTATTGTAGCGCGGAAAATGTTTATATAGCCCAGAAACGAAGCCTACTGTATTAATCCTTGTACTTTCGAAAGTATGAAGAAATTGAGTTGAAAGATGCCTTATACCTGATTTAAAGGAAACTTGTTTTGCCGAATTCAGAGCCCTGGACGAGCCTGTTTCTTAAAAGATGGGTCTTCTGACAAAAGAGTGAACATTGCTCAAAATTGGTACGTGTTCGTCGAGTCTTCCACTGAACTCCAGAAATGTGTTGGTGATATTCAGTTGTTCGCTTTTACTGAAATGGAAAACAACTTACCTAAACATCATTTTAAAACGTTATGACGTTATAAGGCGCTGCCACTTTCCTTTTCCAAAGAAAATAAAGAAGTTATCGCTTTTAAGTATAAATCATATAGAAGAAACCATCGTTAATTAGCTCTTCTTAGAACCAAGAAAACCCGTAAGTTTTGCATATGGCGGTAGGCATTAACCCTTTGATTCTAAAAGGCCGAGTGATCAGTAGTCTCTTCGTAATATTAGTGGGTTATAAAACTATTTACGTCCCTAATTGCACACTTTTATTTAATAGAATATCGCGTCTCAAATTTGCGAATTTTAAGATATTTTAAGAATAAACCCGAGGCTGACGTTTTGAAGAGGATATAATGTTGTGTGTTAAAAATCCGTAAATACAAGAAACGAAAAAACTAGCCAACAAAACCAAAAAAATTGCACTGACTGTCATTGCTGGTTCCCTAAATACGCCGTTCTAAAACGGAAATGTTATAAGCTATAATCAAGGACAATACAAGAATACTTTCAGTCTAAAAACGACAGAAAAATAAGAATATTCAGCTTGGGAGGGAAAAACAATATTCTTCTAAAAAAAAGAGTGTCTCTGATCAAACTGGCTAACATGCTCATCGAGTCTTTTAACTCCAAAATGTGTACACGATAAAAGAAATGTCTTCAACAAGTTGTCGCTGAACTTGAGACCAACCTACTGAGACGTCGGATGTAAAAAATATCATTATCTAAAGAAATCAAGCATTTTTTGGTTTATGAAAGCCATGACTTATAGAGAGCTTTAGACTCCTCGAGGACGACTACGAGTACAAGATGCTCACGCGTGAACCTGCGTCATTTTGGCGGGAAAACGTGATAGCCGTCGTCATTCTACTACGAGTTTTAGCGAGAATGTCGTGGTGGCGGGAACAAGTTATAAAATGTGAGAAGTTTTATCATTTTGCTTTCGGGAGCTTTCTTGTTTTAGAACACGCGCAAAAACCTTAAGTTAAATCTCGTACTCTTTCCCGTTGCCATCCTCAAATCTAAAGCTGTCTGGCTATGTTGAGAGATACGGCTCAAAAGTAAACCTAGCCTGCGCGCAGACGAAATTAAACTCTGGTTAACTCCGTCTGCGAAACAGCGCCGAAATCCTTGTTCTGGACTTCCAGCTGTGTACCCAGATTTGAGTACGCGCCACGATTGGCCAGTTAAAAAAGGCCTTTGTTTTGTTTGTCGTGATCGCCAATCAGGTTGAAGGGGAATTCGAAACGCACTTCCGGTAATTCGTTGAGTCCGTTGGGGGTCCAGAACAAGGATCTCTGCGCTGCTTCGCAGACGGTACTAATCAGAGTTTAGTTATCGTCTGCACGCAGGCTAAAGTAAACCATGCTATTCGCCACTTTACAAAGGAGAAGGCCGAGTTAACTTTTGCAAAGACTTCTGGGAATGTTACTTGGGGCAGGGCAAACAAATTGACCAATAGCTGAATGGTTGTGACTAGAATGGATACAGTAAAATCAGGTTGGACACCTTATGTTTATTACACAACGCTATACTCGTCGTAGAGAGCCATTTATGCAAATTTATTGGACACATTTTTGAGAAAAGTGGGGAAATCAGAATAAGAGACAGTTGTGCAAGGAAAAGAGTGTAATACAGGGTTTAGCACCAAACTAAAGTGATTAGGGCTAAGCACTCTTTTAAAAACGGTTAGCTTTCAATAATGTGATAATCAATGCCATGTAAAGTACGTTAAAATTAGCCGGTGTCGGCAGTTAGCCCTTGATGGAATTGAAGAATACCCTGAATGTGGATTATACATCAATGATGCGGGCTCGGACTACATACTACCCACTGTTTTCTTTCGTTTTCTTTCTTATCCTATGACTCCTATCACGTACTTTGAGCAAAAATGACAACCTGATTTTGGCGTATCCATTCTAGTCACAACCATTAAAAGCTAAATGGCGCCTCTCCTGTAACGATCCCAGAAGACTTTAAATCGGCCCAGTTCCCTCTCGCATTTAAAGTGGCGAATTGCAACACGTTGTTAGACGAAAATGTTTGATTATTTAGCAGAGGCTTAAGTAAAATACATACTCGCTAAGCCATCAATAACAAGGACCTTACGATCTGAAAACGTCAATGAACTGACTTTCTGCTCTTTCAACATTTTTTGGAATTAGTTCAACTGTTCCGTATAACCCCATACATTTATTATGCATACATGTTTCGACTCTTTTCATATTAGACTCTTTGTGAGAAAAAGTATGAAATTGCTGCATACATAATAATGTATGGAGTTATACGGAAATCTTACCCAAACCTATGGAAGAAAAGACGCTTTGTTACAGAATACGTGTTTTGCCAAAACGGAGGGGTCAGACGTTGAACTTAGGACGTTTCGAACCAATCAACAGAATTCAGACCAAAAAACAATTTTAAAGGGGCTAAATGCACATTATCAAACAAATTTTAAATTTTTATTTGTTAGTGA